TCCATGGTCTTCCGGGTCTTTTGGTGTTGCTGAGCTCACCGGTGCGTTCCTTCTTTTTAAGAATGTTCCAAACAGTTGTGTTGGCCACGCCTAATGTTTTTGCTATCTCTCTGATGGGTTTGTTTTGTTTTTTCAGCCTAATGATGGCTTGCTTCACTGATAGTGACAGCTCTTTGGATCTCATCTTGAGAGTTGACAGCAACAGATTCCAAATGCAAATAGCACACTTGAAATGAACTCTGGACCTTTTATCTGCTCATTGTAATTGGGATAATGAGGGAATAAACACACACCTGGCCATGGAACAGCTGAGAAGCCAATTGTCCCATTACTTTTGGTCCCTTAACAAGTGGGAGGCACATATGCAAACTGTTGTAATTCCTACACCGTTCACCTGATTTGGATATAAATACCCTCAAATTAAAGCTGACAGTCTGCAGTTAAAGCACATCTTGTTTGTTTCATTTAAAATCCATTGTGGTGGTGTATAGAGACAAAAATGTTAGAATTGTGTCGATGTCCCAATATTTATGGACCTGACTGTATTTATTAGATTCTATGAAGGTTAAGAGGTTTTGCCTTTATGTCAGCTGCTTTTTTCCCTGCACTACCTAGTGCTCGGATACTCATTTTTATTGTTTACATTTTAAAAGTACTCGGCGGACGTGAGGTGCATTGTGTGAGTTCTGCTTGGCTCCGTCTGACAGAAATCTAGAGGATGTAATTAGGGATGTTTTATGAAAACAGTGGGTCTGCGTGAAATATCATTACTTGGGCCTTCCTACCAGAGGAAAAGAGATTGCGCCATGGCAAAAATTGGATGTCTTTATCAGTAGCTCTCAGTATCCCTGCTGGGTACATGGGATATAGAATGCAGAGTTCAGGAGTGTGTTGTGTACAGGGTGCAGAGTTCAGGAGTGTGTTGTGTACAGAGTGCAGAGTTCAGGAGTGTGCTGTGTACAAGGTGCAGAGTTCAGGAGTGTGCTGTGTACAGAGTGCAGAGTTTAGGAGTGTGCTGTTTACATAGTTCAGGAGTTTGTTGTTTTCAGAGTGAAGAGTTCAGGAGTGTGCTATGTACATAGTGCAGAGTTCCAGAGTGTCTTGAGTACAGAAGTGTGTTGTGTACAGATTTCAGGAGTGTGCTGTGTACAGTGTTCAGGAGTGTGCTGTGTACAGAGAGCAGAGTTCAGGAGTGTGCTATGTATAGTGTGCAGAGTTCAGGAGTGTGTTGTGTACAGAGTGCAGGAGTGTGCAGAGTTCATGAGTGTGCTGTGTATAGAGTTCAGGAGAGTGCAGTGTGTACAGAGTGCAGAGCTCAGGAGTGTGCTATGTATAGTGTACAGAGTGCAGAGTTCAGGAGTGTGCTGTGTACAGAGTTCATGAGTGTGCTGTGTAAAGAGTCCAGCAGTGTGCTGTGTACAGAGTCCAGGAGTGTTGTGTACAGAGTGCAGGATTCAGGGGTGTGCTGTGTTCAGAGTTCAAGAGTGTGCTGTGTACAGATTGCAGAGTTCAGGAGTGAGTTGTGTACAGAGTGCAGAGTTCAGGAGTGTGTGTCATGTACAGAGTCCGGGAGTGTGCTGTGTACAGATTCAAGAATGTGCTGTGTACAGAGTTCATGAGTGTGTTGTGTACAGAGTTCAGGAGTGTGCTGTGTTTAGAGTTCAGGAGTGTGCTGTGTTTAAACACAGCACACTCCTGAACTCTAAACACAGCACACTCCTGAACTCTGAACACAGCACACTCCTGAACTCTAGAGTTCAGGAGTGTGCTGTGTAGAGTCCAGGAGTGTGCTGTGTACAGACTCAAGAATGTGCTGTGTACAGAGTTCAGGAGTGCAGTGTGTACAGAGGGCAGAGTTCAGGAGTGCGGTGTGTGCATTAGGCAGAGTTCAGGAGTATGCTGCATACAGAGTTCAGGAGTGCAGTGTGTACAGAGTGCAGAGCTCAGGAGTGTGCTGCGTACAGAGTTCAGGAATGTGCTGCGTGCAGAGTTCAGAAGTGTGTTGTGTTCAGATTTCAGCAGTGTGCGGGAACAGTGGGGTAGGGTGGGCAGAGTTCAGAAGTGCAGAGTGTACAGAAGGCAGAGTTCAGGAGTGCGATGTGTGCATTGGGCAGAACTCAGAAGTATGTTGCGTAATGGTAACAAGGGACACTTATTAGCAAAAGTATGTAGGCATAGGACACACCCCCTTAAAGGAGAATTATAAAAAAAAGATTAGTTAAACTACAAGTGCTCTTTTTTACCACTACTATTCCTTTATACTGGTTTTTGAAATTTACAAATGCAGCAATTTAAAAATTTAATGAAAGGTTTAGCACTTGGAAGCACTTTTTGAAAGATGAATTGCATTTTATATACAACTGTATAGATCAGACCAAAGTGCAGGACAAATGAGGAGGAAAGCGGAACAGAGGGACTTTGTTCAAAATCAGGGACAGTTGGGAGCTATGCAGCAGTGCAGTGTGTACAGAGCGCAGAGTTAAGGAGTGTGCTGCGTACAGAGTGCACAGGAAAGCGGTGGGTACAGTGGACAGAGTTCAGGAGTGCGGTGTGTACAAAGGGCACAGTTCAGGAGTGCGGTGTGTACAGAGTGCAGAGATCAGGAGAGCGGTGTGTACAGAATGCAGAGTTCAGGAGTGCGTCGTGTACAAAGGGCAGCGTTCAGGAGTGCGCTGTGTACAGTGGACAGAGTTCAGGAGTGCGGTGTGTACAGAGTGCAGAGTTCATGTGGTGTGTACAGAGGGCAGAGTTCAGAAGTGCGGTGTGTACAGAGGGCAGAGTTCAGGAGTGCGGTGTGTACAGAGGACAGAGTTCAGGAGTGCGGTGTGTACAGAGGACAAGTTCAGGAGTGCGGCGTGTACAGTACAGTGGACAGAGTTAAGGAGTGCAGCGTGTACACGGGGCAGAGTACAGGAAAGCGTCAGGTACAGTAGACAGAGTTCAGGAGTGTGGCGTGTACAGTGGGCAGAGTTCAGGAGTGCGGCGTATACAGAGGGCAGAGTACAGGAAAACGGCAGGTAAAGTGGACAGAGTTCAGGAGTGCGGTGTGTACAGAGGACAGAGTTCAGGAGTGCGGTGTGTACAGAGGACAGAGTTCAGGAGTGCGGCGTGTACAGTGGACAGAGTTTAGGAGTGCAGCGTGTACACGGGGCAGAGTACAGGAAAGCGTCAGGTACAGTAGACAGAGTTCAGGAGTGTGGCGTGTACAGTGGGCAGAGTTCAGGAGTGCGGCGTATACAGAGGGCAGAGTTACAGGAAAACGGCAGGTAAAGTGGACAGAGTTCAGGAGTGCGGTGTGTACAGGAGGGCAGAGTTCAGGAGTGCGGAGTGTCCAGAGGGCAGAGTTCAGGAGTGCATTGTGTACAGAGGCAGAGTTCAGAAGTGCGGTGTGTACAGAGGGCAGAGTTCAGGAGTGCGCTGTGTACAGAAGACAGAGTTCAGGAGTGCGGGTGTGTACAGAATTCAGGAGTGCGGCGTGTACAGTGGACAGAGTTCAGGAGTGCAGCGTGTACAGAGGGCAGAGTTCAGGAGTGCGGTGTGTACAGTGGGCAGAGTTCAGGAGAGCGGCATGTACAATGGAGCAGAGTTCAGGAGCGCAGCGTATACAGAGGGCAGAGTACAGGAAAGCGGCAGGTACAGTGGACAGAGTTCAGGAGTGCGGTGTGCAGAGAGGGCAGAGTTCAGGAGTGCGCGTGTGTGCAGAGAGGGCAGAGTTCAGGAGTGCAGTGTGTACAGAGGCAGAGTTCAGGAGTGCATTGTGTACAGAGGGCAGAGTTCAGGAGTGCGGCGTGTACAGTGGACAGAGTTCAGGAGTGCGGTGTGTACAGAGGGCAGAGTTCAGGAGTGTGGTGTGTACAGAGGGCAGAGTTCAGGAGTGCGGTGTGTACAGAGGGCAGAGTTCAGGAGTGCAGTGTGTACAGAGGGCAGAGTTCAGGAGTGCGGCGTGTACAGAGTTCAGGAGTGCAGCGTGTACAGTGGACAGAGTTCAGAGGTGCGGTGTGTACAGAGTGAAGAGTTCAGGGGTGCGGTGTGTACAGAGTGCAGAGTTCAGGAGCCCTCTGTGTGTAGAGATGCTCTGTCCTCTGTTCAAACCACACTCCTGAATTTTGCCCTCTGTGCACGCCGCACTCCTGAACTCTGCCCACTGTATACGCCACACTCCTGAGCTCTGCCCACTGCACACGCCGCCACACTCCTGAGCTCTGCCCTCTGTACACACCGCACTCCTGAGCTCTGCCCTCTGTACCTGCCATACTCCTGATCTCTGTACACATCGCACTCCTGAACTCTGCCCTCTGTACCTGGCACACTCCTGATCTCTGCACTCTGTACACATCGCACTCCTGAACTCTGCCCTCTGTACACGCCGCACTCTTGAACTCTGCCCTCTGTACCTGCCGCACTCCTGGTCTCTGAACTCTGCACACGTCGCACTCCTGAACTCAGCCCTCTGTACTCACCACACAGTGTGCAGAGTTCAGGAGTGCGACGTGTACAGTGGACAGAGTTCAGGAGTATGCATTTCACACACTACTTTGCAAGCAAAAGTGGCCCTCCACCTCAGTAGTACATGGCTCTCATTCTACCCACAGGACCAGCTACACAAGTGCTGCCAGACTAGGGGAGCTTGACACATCCTTTCCCACATAGAGATGTACAAATCACAACTCCTGACTTGAAGCACAGGGCCAGCCGGAGTTGGCACGTTGCAGCTCACAGTGCAGTGCTCCCACCAGAAACTCAGTGACAGAAGATATTTAGCAGCAGCGGATGAAGTGTTGCTGCCAAAATAGGACGGCATACTACATGTGGGTAGTGTGTGACAGGTCACAGTAATCCCCACACACACCCTAGCACTCTTTACACGCCACTGAGTGTAAACAATTCCCTTGTAGACACGACAATCTTCACCAAAATGGCGTCTTTTTGGGGACAGCATACAACGCCAGAGATATCACGTGTGCAGAGTTCAATGCTCTGATTGGTCTCCTAAGCTCCTGGTCCCCGGAAGGCGGAAGAAGCTCGGCCCTGGTGAGCTGGCTGCTGCTGTGGCACAATGATCGGGGACCTGTTGTTGTTCGGGTGAGAGCGGGCAGACTATGGGCATTTTTACAAATGGATGTAACGGGAGGAGTTGGGCATCACATTTTGTGGCTGCAGTCCTGCTGTGTGGTGCTGTTACGTCACCCGTTTATTCTCGGTATATTGTGTTTTAATACAACACCATTGCCGTAATTGTGCTGGGGACCAGAAGCCCATGTTGTTGGAGCTTTTTGTAACTCGGGTTCTTTCCCTCATACCCTTACCATCTCTCCACCCACCCCCCATGCCAGGCAGCCGTTCTGCGCATGCTCCTGCCCTGACTTCTCCTGGCCTTACAGCAAGTAGAGACTGAACTGTTTACCAGCAGCCTGGACTTTACAGACAGATGTGCCAGAACTGACATCTTCCCCAACACACCTGCCCAATCCATTCCTGGCTGCTTTTGAAGCCTTAGCTACTACCCATTTGGACTGGCAGTTTGTCTCTTCCCTTCTCCTAGCCTTCACTGCACATACACATATCAATGCTGAAAGATCTGCCTACATCCCTAGCTTACTGCACCTGCAGGCACAATCTCAGCATCATGTGTAGGAGTTTGGGCCGTTCACACTGATGTGTTGTACAATGCATTACGCATTTTTCGTGTGTTTAAACATTGCTTTCAAACTGCTTTGTTGCAAAAACATGCTAAATATGCATATGAGAGTAAAGAGGAGATCCAGGATCCCCCCAAAAAATTAAAAGTCAGAAGCTGCAAACTTTTAATATAAGGACACTTACCTGTCCAGGGGTCCAGTGCCATTGTCACCCGGGCTAGTTCTTCACTAGTCTCCGGGTTCCTGGCACCCGCATTGCAAGTAAGGGAAACCAGGAGTGAAGCCTTGCAGCTTCACTGCCGGTTTCCTACTGCACATACTTGAGTCGCACTGTGCCTTGTGATTGGACCTGTAGTCTCCTGGGACCTGTAAAGTGTCCCAGAAGACTGCGGGGGGAAGGAAGAAGGCTGAACTTCAGGCTCAGATCGCCGCAGTGAGTTGGAAGTGGGAGCAACTAGGTACAACTAGGTACCCCCCCCCCCCCAAATAAGTGCCAAGTTTGGCAGTGGAGGGGGGGGAGGGTGCAGACAAGCGGAGCTTCCCTTTTTGGGTGGAGCTCCGCTTTAACCTTCCCAGCCGGTGTCATTGTTACAGTGACAGTGTATATTATGAGCCTTGATCACTGTATTAGTGTTGGTTAGTAAGTTCCCCCAAGTTAGTGTCAGATTGCCTGCCACACTATCGCAGTCACACTTTAAGTCACTGATTTACTAGTATAAAGAAATAAAACTTCTAGTATGTATACCATAGTTTGTAGATGCTATAACTTTCACACAAAGCAATTAATATATACTTATTGGGATTTTTGTTTACCAAAGATGTTTAGCAAAATACATTACAAATTATTAAGAATTTAATTTTGTATTTTTCTTATTGGATATGTTATATAGCAGAAAGTAGAAAATAATGTGGGTTTTTTTCCCAAAAAATATTTTTTCCACAAAATAAAAAACCCCCAGGTGATCAAATACCACCAAAAGAAAGCTCTATTTGTGTGAAAAAACCCCAATATAAATTGTTGTTTGCATGCATAACTGAAATCGCTAAAGTGGGAAAAAATGACCTGGCCATGAAGGGGTAAAATCTTCCAGAGCTCAAGTGGTTAAAGTGGTTGTAAACCCTCACATATACCCAGCGAAGTGACTGGGCTCAGGTGATACACAGAGATAAAAAAACAAATCCTCCTACGTAAGTTGTACTTGTCTATCTGCAGCCATCTCTTCTCTACATCTTTTCAAATTGCTGAATTTATACAGGTTGTCTGAGAGTTCAGAAAAAGGGGAGAGCAGAAATTGGACTCTGCAGAGCTCACTGAGGAGAGCTCTGAAAGCTGATTGGAGGGAAGGTACCCCCCACCCCCAAACGCACACCTCCACCCCTCACAGGAACAGAGTTGAGGCTGTTAATCTGCTGGAGGTCTCTCCCCGTCACCATTTTTCACTTGGTGTCAGGAAAACGTGTAAGAAGTGATTCATGCTGATAGCAGAAGAAAGAAGCAGCAGACAGAAATAACACTTAGTGCTCCTAATTGAGCCAGGGCACTTCCTTATCTAGAAGGATATGCATGGTTCCACCCCTGCTGTTTGCAATGGAAGTCTCAGCATGACTTCTATGTGACACCACATGTCCTGGAAAGATGGTCATAGCCTACTTCTTTCTACTTCTGGTGTAAGGATTTATTTACACCTCAGTCCCTGCATCTACATGCATTCGTGATGATTTTTTTCGTTACTGAGTTGCATGTCACATGCTGTCATGTGCTTTCATATGCCTTCAGGTAGGTTTACATGCAAAAAATGCTGCATTTTTAAAACACAAATGAAAGCACCACAGTGGTGTAAACTGTGTTAATTGAAGTGCATCCAAGTTATCTTGCTGGTCAGCAAGACCGAAGGACTGGTTCACACCAGGTGCATGTTTAAACGACATCCAGACTGCATGCACTATGTTTACCATGTATTCCTGTGGCCCTAGTTCACACCAGTGCACTCAGTTCCAGTGCTTTCAACAAAAGTACAACCTGCTACATTTTTTTTCATCTCGATTGCATAAAAGTACATGTAACTGCACAAGAATGCACATTGTCCTAATGAAAATGATGTAGAGCAGGGCTTAAAACTTCAAGTCCTGAGCTATTAGTCAGGCCTTAAGAGTTACTCGCCATAAGTTGCCCCACCCAACCCCTACCCTGCTATACCCCTAATTCCACCCCTAAACACGCCCTCGTAAATTATTTCATGAAATTACACTGTTAAATGTTACCCACATTACATCAGGGTCTCCAATGTCCCCCTAAACAATCCATCATACAGACCATGCACCGCATACAACCATAACCTCCCATAATCTTTCACTCACAAAACCATAACTCTACCAAGCATATCCTACCTACTATCCAACCCAGCAATACCTCAAGTGCCCCATACTCTACCATCCATAATAACCACATAATCCTGAACCTGACCAAACCACCCATACATGTAGGTTTACATACAGACACATGTACATGCACGCACACACACACACACACAGACATGTACTCACACACACACAGAAACATGTACACACACGCCCAGAGACACATGTACAGACACACATACACAGACACATGTACATACACAGAAATACACACGCACAGACTCATGTACATACACACACAAACACACATGTACATACACACAGACACATACACACAGATACGCACACACATACATACTTACAAATACACACACATACACTCACACACAGCCCTAAAAAATTTGCAGTATATCGTTGCCTTCACTCACAGCACTCTAGGGGAGGCAGAGAGCACAGCACACACTCCTTCCTTTGCTTTCATTTTGCTCAACTATTGAGCAGTCTGATGGCTCCCAGTGCCAATGACAGATCCAGCCCTGAGTTCCGAGCCTGCTCAGCAAGACGGCCCTGGGGACACACTCGCCCCCACCATAATTTCCACTTGCCAATGCGAGCGGCGAGTGGAAATTTCAAGCCCTGATGTAGAGTATTAAAGTGTCAAAATAGAAAACAATAAAAGGAAACAAACATGCTCATCTGCATTGAACACATAAAAACCATGTGTAACTGCGTATGCTGAAGCACATACGGAACTCTGAAACTGTGATGTGAACAAGCTCTAAATGTGGTGCTGCACTAGTTTTCTGTTTTAGGATTTTTTCTCTTTATTTTCATCTAGTTATCTGGTCCGTAATATGCTTCCTGTTAGGGTTACTCTACTCTGGATGGAGCAGCAACTGAGACACATTTTGGATAGCAGCATTTTAAAACTTGGGAAAGGATAATAGATCTACTAGCGGATTTAGATGGACTTGCCTGTCTTTAAAGTGTTAGCTGGAGTTCAGCTTTAATTTAGTTAAACTAAACCCTCCTATCTGTAACGTACATGTAAGATTTGAGTAACTGAGATGTGATCTATAGAAATATGACATTGTAGATTTAGCTCATTCCATGTTAATATAAGATGTGTTTCAGAATTAAGCCAGAGACATGTGGTCACCAATTAGCATCTGAAGGGACAGAGCTTCCTCTAGACTGGTGGTGACACCTAGATGCCAATAAGACTTGTCACCTACTTCTAAACATTTCAGTTTCAGAGGCAGCGGGAGACCAAGAGAGGGCTCCGATCTGTCTAGGAGCTCTAAAGTATATCAGCAGATCAAAGGAATATATTTAATCTCTCATAAAAGCTTAAATATTAGTTGCGGAGCGATGAAAATACTTCCTTCTGATTGGACACACTGTAGGCTACACTTGCATGTAAAACTGTATTTGTAGCCTATGTAGAGTCCCAGAGAAATGCAGAAAATGGTTATATGGCACCTGATTGCGACAGCTGAACAGTGATTGGTACTGTCGCGATCGGACTGATGCGCTGGTGTCGGAAATTCAATCCCTGACTTGGTGATTCAATCCGTTCCTGGTCCAATCTACTTTGGGCATTTCAGTACCCAGAACGTCCTGTGGGCTGGTACAGGAACACCCCGCAGAGTCGATTGGCCAAGGGCTAGTGTCCAGTCTACATCCATATTCCCATAAATTGAGGACCTGGGATATGAACGATGTGATTCGTATGGAGCCAGTTCTATTGACTGACGGATTGCGGACTTTCTCTGACTTGCTCCAATCACAGGAAAACTCTTGGTAAAAGTTTTATTTCTGTTTTATTTCCCTTTTATTTTATAGTCAATAGCCAATTGTGTGTCTTCTTGTATTTTCTGTAGCTTTTTATACTTTGTACATTTTTATGCACTGCCCACTTTCGGGATATTAAATCATAAAATTAATAAGTGACTTCTGGGTACTTAAGCTCGGGCTCATATCTCCAGAGAAATTAGATTGTATTGTATTGCAGTGTCTTTATATGCTCGGTCAAGTTCATTGCCAATCTGTATGCAATTGCACTGCGTGTTGGCAGATTGCATG